CTAAAAGAAGGAAGGAGAAAGCAAAATCTCAGATTAACACATTGTTAAGCTCAATATCTGGTAAAACCTGTTAGGTGTGTCAGATGACAGGGACAGAAAAGGATAGGGCAGTGTTCAGATGTTGTTCGTAGCATTGCTTTGAGTCGTACATGACTCAATGGCACGTAACAACAACAACAATATAAAATCATGGGAATACAAAATGGTAAACCACATTGATGAACAGTTTGGTGAAAACTTTGGTGAACTTACTTAGAAATCTGGGAACAGAAATATCTGCTTTATCCAGCAATCTTACTTCTATATATAGTCTATATATTACTAAATCTTACTTCTATATATTCTAAAGAAAAAAAGAGTTGGGATACAAGATAACATACACATATTCTATTGTTGTATATACTAGCTAAGAGGTGGAAATAATCCAAGCGTCCACTGATGGAGGAACAGATAAAGAAATTATCGTACATTCACACAAAAGACTATTATACATCACACACACACACACACACACACAAGAGATCATTTGATGAAATACTGCACAACATGGATGAATCTAGAAAAATTATGCTGAGGTACACTAGCCAGCTGAAAGAACAATCTGGCATAAGACTACCAATAGGAAAAGCTAAAGGAAGGTTTATACATAGGTGGACTTAATCTTAAAGGGTTAACAGTGGGCAGAAGAGAGTAAAAAGTAATAAACAGGTAAGTTGGGAGAAGGGAAAAGCACTATACAATAAAGGTCTGATTAGACAATGTAATAAATTAATTACACTAATTGTTTGTAATTACTGTTATAATAAAAATGTCTGAGTGATTAAAAGAAAAAGCAGTATGATTTGCAAACTTGGACTCAGATAAAAGAAAAGATGTATCTAATCAGAGGAATCCCTGGATGGTGAAGCAGTTAGCAGGCTCAGACGCTAGCCATAAAGTCTGTAGTTCAAGCCTATCCAGAGATTCCTTAAATGAAAACTCTACTTCTAAAAAAAACAGCCATTGAAAACTCTCCGGATCATTTTCCACCATGACCCAAGCAGGGAAGGTGGCCATAAGTTAAACTGAATCCACAGCAACTAGTTAGACAGTAAGAATGAAAAATCCTTGGTGAGCTCTGGTGGCCTAGTGGCAGGAAACTGCACTGCAATCCCAGAGGTGCACGGTTCAAATCCACCAGATGCTCTGCTGAAGGAGGAGGAACAATCGCCTCCTGTACCAGTCAGATCTAATTTGACGGTATCCACATAAAATAAATAAATAAAAAAATTTAAAAAAAAAGAATGAAAAATCCATGTGTATGTGTGCATGCAATAAGCCCACAGAAAATATAGATCCTCATGTAGTAAGCTTGCAAAGATTTCTGCCAACAATTGCTGCAGTATTTAGAAAATGGTTTGAAGCCTTTTTAGTTGTGAGCATTAAATTCTTTCCTTTCAATTTTGCTCTTAACATTTAAATTCTCCATTCACCCCAATTAACAACTATTATATCTACTTTTTTCCCCTCCTAACACCCAAATCACAAATCTATTGTTGCTGTTATGTGTCTGTGAGTGGGAATGACCCAGCACTGACTCTCTAGTAAGTGTGCAGAGACTATAAAGAGCATGTGAGGAGACTGCAGGGCTTTCTTGTGCAGAGTGGCTGGTAAGTTCCTACTGTCTTTGGGTTGGCAACACAACCCATTAAGCAACCAGCACTCCCCAGGCTACAACTGCTAAATGCTGTGGAGTTGAGTACTACTCATAGCGGCCTTATCTTGTGCTATCCTCATCATCTCTGACACATCACAATGCATTGCTGTGTCAAACTGTTTTCAGAGGGTCAACAGACAGACTTAAAAAATATCACTTATTGTGGAAACATCTTCCTTTTTGATATTAACAGGAATCAAAAAGGTATTGCTAGATGTCTACAGGCTTTGGATTGGTGGGGAGGGGAACGCTGGAAACAGCTTCACAAGAAAAGCTCTGACCCAGTACAGAAGGAAGGTAAAGTGGTCAAGCCATTGGCCCTCCAGTTCTGCCTCAAAGATGCATCCTCTCTACAGATGAGTAACTCAACTGGTGATGAGTGTATGGGTAAAATACACTTTCTTTACTTAAAACTTACTGCCATTGAGTCAATTCTTACGCACAGAGATCCCTTCATCAGGTTTCTGAGGCTTTAAATCTTAATGAGTTATATGATCCATCTTTCTCTCCTAGGCTGGTGGATTCAAAGCACAGGAGAAACTTGACCATTTAATTAACAGTAGAGTATGCTGATCCCTACAGTATTAGGCTCCTAAATCTTACTTATTATTGTCTCCATGTTTATATTTTTCCTAAATAATTTTTTTTAAAGCAACAAATCATCTTGGGAACGGAGGGAAAAATTCTCAATTTTTGCATAATGCTGCTTTTATCCCAATCATTTCACCTTTCAAATCTATTCTATTTTGAAAAATGAAGCCTAGTATGTAATGTAGTAGATAGGGGATTATAAAGAATGAGGCAAGGCAATTTAACTTTTTCTCTTTTAACACCTCCATCTGACTGGGGGTAAGGGTGGGGGGAGGTCAGAGAAAGAGAGGAAGACCCCCTGCAAGATGGATTGACACAGTAACTGTAACAATGGGCTCAAGGGATCAGAGATGATGAGGACGGCACAGGAGAGGGCAAGGTGCACATCCATTGTTCATATGGTTGCTTTAAGTCATGGTTGATTTGATGGCACCTAAAAACAACAGGCATCCATCATTATTGAAAAGAGGAAGACTCTTCTGGTGTTAAGGGATTTATTGTTCAATTGGCTGTCTTAGCCACTGAATTTGCCTTTGCCATGTGACTGGGTGGGAATTTGTGAAAAGGGTGTGTTAGCCTCTTGTTAAGGGGATTGACTAGTTTCACCAATCTAACAAGGGATTGGCTAGTCTCTCTAAGAAATTGAGCACATCCAACAATAGAATGGGAGATCCTTACCACCAGCAAAGAATCAAGAGACTACAATGCCACATCTGGGGCTAGAGATTTCTGCATCAGTCAGACCAGGGTCCATGCAGTAGTGAACCTGACATGAGATGGAGTGGACCTTAGAGCTGTGAGCCTTGGAACCAGACCTAGGAGCCTCTGCCCAAGTTTGATGGGCAAACTGAGGGGAAGGAAGGAGGTTTTACTCACAGCTTTGTTAACACTGGTTTATAGTCATGAGGTTCAAAGCTGAGGTGCCTAAGAGCACATCTGAGAAGCTGCCCTGACTCTGTTCTGCTACTAACCTGAATGATAACCTTTTGATGCCCTTAATATGATTCTATGTTGTCTGTGACCTATCACATCAGGTACCGGACCTAGGAAAGTAGTAAGACTGGTGTCAGGATGAGTAGAAAAAGGTGTGCGCGTGTGGGGGAACATGTCTGACCTCATGGGAATCGGTATTGTGCTGCTGTTGCTGACTGGGACAGTTCCCACTTATGAAGTTAGTAAATGTCAGAAATGGCTGTCCCCAGATGATCCTTGCTCAATGAGTTGGACTGACACAACAGATAAAACAGTGGATTTGAGCATGGCAGAGACTGTGAGGATGGCACAGGATAGACCAAGGGTTATCTGTTGTTGACAGGGTTGTTATGAGTCAGCATGGACTATAGCACCTCACAATAACTATCCCCACGGCAAGTGGAATTCATTGTACTTTATGGTAAGTAGAACTAGAACAGTCTCCAAACAACTGATCTTTTTAATTTCAGCTCCCTGGAAGGGTAGGATCATGGATTTTTGGTCTTTAAAACAATTGAAAGTATACAATTGTGCCATAAATTAGAATAGACTTTTTAGCAAATCTCTACATAGATTATTAAGTATCTTCCTACTTATTCTTGTTGTCGTCAAGTTGAGCATGACTCATAGTGATCTATGAACAAAGGGCCTGAAGCCTTTAACTATCATCATTTAGCTAAGTTCATAGCGTTTCCAGAGGCATATTGTTTAGGAAGTGGATGCCACTCCTGCTTCCAAACCTGTCTTAAACTGGGAGCTCCATCAAACACTGTCCATCATGGGTAACCATTATGGTATTTGAAACCCCAATGTCACAAGGTTCAGCATCACATCACAGCAACCCCAGGTTACCTCAATACAGCATATTGACACAACTATATACCCTGTATTTGTCAGCTCTTAATAAAGATGGTTTGGATAGCTTTGAGTGGGTTCACGATCTTAGTGAAAACATCCCTGTAGAATGCCGGCCTATCCTAATAGGCATAGCTTTACCATTGTACAAAATAAGCAAAGACATCTTCAGCTGTCATTCTAACTTCACTAGCATATAATAAAGCTCCTAGGAGGAAAAGCCCAGTGATCTACTTCTGGAAATCAGCCAATGAAAACTCCATGCATCACCTTGGTCTGATTCCACTGTGTATAGGGACGCAATGCATCAGGGACTAACTTGACAGCAGTTAACAGCAACAAGAAGAGAAGTTAAGTGTAGGATGTGTGCTAAATCGTGTCCTCTGGTTTACAGTCTTTCTAAAGAGCTCTTCTCTGCCTTCTAATTATCATTCAGAAGCTATGACTCAATAAAAAGTAGGCAAAGAAAATATAAGTTCTCTAAACCTCTTGGCAATAAGATGTCTTAAGTGAAAAGAGATAAAGGAATCTAGAAACTTGGTCAACAGGACAGCATCAGAAATAAAAAATAGATTTAAAATTAAAACCTGTTACTAGAACAGAGTAATTAGTTCTAGTGGCCCAGTGGGTAACGGATTACACTGCAATCCAAAGGCATGCACTAAGAATCCACCATGCGTTCCAAAGAATGATGGGTAATCTCCTCCCACACAATTTATAGCATACGAAACCCAAGTTCAGGGTCAGCTATGAGTCAGTTCCGACTGGATAGCCCATAACAACCACCACCACCAGCAAGAAAATATCTCAAAAGAAGTGTACCTATGATCAAAGTCGTTACCATGGCTAGAAGTCCTTCTCTCTGAAAATTCTCTGAACCACATTG